TTGTCTCTGTTAACCGCAGCTTTGTCCTTCTCTACCTGGGCTCTGTCCCGCTGAAGCGCTGCTCTTTCCCGATCGGCAAGGGCCCTTTCCCGCTCTAGAAGGGCTTTTTCTCGGTCCAGGCCTCCAAGCTCCTTTTCTAGAAGCTGTCTTTCTCTTTGAAGTTTGGTTCTCATGATGTCCAACGAGTGACTTCCTGTTGTCTGCTTGCCTTTTTGTCTTGCCCGCTTAGCCAGATGCGGTCTGGAGGTCGGCGGCACATTCCCCGAAGTTCCTTCCTCTTCCAAGAATTCCAATATTTCCCCTCCGACTTTAATCTGGCGTAGCCTCTTACTAGGATGAGGTGCATTATCATTGTTAGCTTCTGATGTGATCACTTGCTGGCTGATCTTTTCATCAAACTCTTCACCCAGAGCATCGTCCATGAGATTGAACCATTTCCAGCAGGTGGGGTTCTTCTCCACACCGGTGGGAGGATATTTTGCATCCTTGTAATGAAGTGTGAAATGCATTAAATTGTTGAATATGTTCTGAGAAAGTTGGCATTTGCAAAACATAATTAGCAGTGAGACCAACCTTATATCTTGCCTTCAGGTTTTCCCACTTTTTGGCAATCTGCTCAGTTGTAATCCTTTCCTCAAGCCCCATTTCTCGGAGTATTGCACTGCAAAAAAATAAGCAAAATAATAACTTTGAATATGAACACAGATTGTGAGAAATCAAGGCAAATTTTAAGATTACAAATCTCACCTCCAGGCTGTTTTAGACGAATTTTTCCTCCCGTCAAAAAGCGCCGAGTTGCTCGATCGCAGCTGTATCAGCTTTGTGATATCCTCATTAGACACTATAGTGCACATAAAACAGCCAGTTAGTTAGCTTAATGCTCACATTACTGATTAGTTTCGCGCAAAAACGAACGACTTACTTTTATAGATGAGTTTAGAGCTGGTCGACGCCGAATCCATATTTTATATCACTTCGTAAAACAGATTTCTAGGGCCCTTAATAGTGCACGTTGAAAGTGTGCTTCTGTTAACATTCCCTCCCAGGGAAAATGGCGCCGTACGAGCACAGCCTGGATATGCTGTCTACTAAGTGCCCTTATTTTGAAGGAGTGAATTTGCGTATAAAATATTTCTTGAAATGTAAATTTGGTTTGACTTAAACGGAATTAATACGTGTGAATAGAACATTAAACTCAAACGCATTCACGAGATCTTTTTTTGGCTACTGACTAGGCTAAAAGACCAAACCAAAGACCAAAGAAAGGTCATTAGCATTACATGGGGGCGTGGCTTATTAGACCGAAGGGTGTCTCTAATAAGTACAATAATAATTTTAAGCTCTGCTATGTGTATTATTAAAGTCTCTGAGTATCGTTATTATTTTTTAATTATTGTCCAGATCTAGATTAAAGAATCATAGTATTCAAAAACAACTGTAATTGGTCTATCCCGAACAGCGCTGAGAAAAATAACAGGCTCCGCGAGACAATACGATCACGTGGCTGTTGTTACTTTTCTCAGCGCTTATCAGAATTGAACAATCAGAGTCGTTTGTGATTACTAGATAAGGATTTTTAAAAATCGTTTAAAAGCGAGATCGCGGCTACGTTTTCCATCTAAGTGTGAACAAATTAAGAGATTTAAACAGTTATTTTTAGTGTACAAATGTATCCAATTAAAAATTTGAATACACTCGCGGTTCTCTAAGCAGCCCTGCGCCACCTGGAGGAAGACAACTTTTGTTTCATTTAAATCATTGAAGCAAGCATTGAAACAAACCAACATTTTCCACCCATCGGTAACGGTGACAAATGAGAAGTCTAAGCCGACAAACATAGAGTAGCTATATTAGAAGAGGTATAGGTTGTATTTAGTTATAAGAATATTTTGGTGTATGAAAAGAATATGCCCAATGAAGACACATACTTGTCACAACTGGCAGTTCTTGACTTTGACTTGACTCTTGATTTACTAAGGCCTATATTCATAAAACTTAAAACAATACTCTTAGATTAAAATAAACAGCTGCTTTTATGCTACCCAGATCTTCATGCAGCATGTTTGAAATCTCAACTAATGCACTTGACCTTTACAAGCCTCTGCTAAACTATTAATAATAGAGGGGGGCTCCTTCCCTAATGAAGAAACAGTCAACAAGTCCTGTCAGGATGAAGTGTCAACATACAATTCATCAACTAATTGGATGACAGAGAGGTGGCCCAGTTAATGTTCAGGGCTGCGTTTCTCAAAAGCATTGTGAGATTTCGTGAGATTTACTTAAGCTTACGATGCTTTTGGGAAACGCAGCCCAAGTCTGCCAAGCAGTTATTGCATAAAGCTGTCAGATGCATTTAAAAAAGCTGGAAAGTGTGGAGCAAGTATGGCAGTCCCTCTGTGTCAAAAAAAAAGAAGTGTTGACTGCTTTATACAATACATTTGATTTTTGCAGTGCAGGCAAACAAATAGAACTTTTAGATTTTTTTTTTCAATAATGAGTTTCCTAAAACTTTTAAAACATCTAAAACATCATTCTGTTCAATAAACTTCAATTAATCTATAGTACATGTTTCATCTATGTGCTTTGTCATAAACTTATGTGTTGTCATTAACTTACATATTGTGGTTTTGGCACAAACAGAATGCCATCATTTTTGAAAACAGCCTTCCAAAAATGACATAAACAATGAACATACACATCAGCATATTAATTTATCTTAAAAGGATAGTTCAACAATAGAGCTGGTCGACGCCGAATCCATATTTTATATCACTTCGTAAAACAGATTTCTAGGGCCCTTAATAGTGCACGTTGGCAGTGTAATTCTGTTATCATACCCTCCCAGTGAAAATGGCGCCGTACGAGCACAGCCTGGATAGGCTGCCTACTAAGTGCCCGTATTTTGAAGGAGTGAATTTGCGTCCTTAAAATGCATATTAAAATATTTCTTGAAATACAAAATTGGTTTGACTTACACAGAATTATTACGTGTGATTTTAATATAAAACTCAAACGCATTAACGAGATCTTTTAACGGCTACTGACTAGGCTAAAAGACCAAACCAAAGACCAAAGAAAGGTCATTAGCATTACATGGGGGCGTGGCTTATTAGACCGAAGGGTGTCTCTAATAAGTACAATAATAATTTTAAGCTCTGCTATGTGTATTATTAAAGTCTCTGAGTATCGTTATTATTTTTTAATTATTGTCCAGATCTAGATTAAAGAATCATAGTATTCACAAACAACTGTAATTGGTCTATCCCGAACAGCGCTGAGAAAAATAACAGGCTCCGCGAGACAATACGATCACGTGGCTGTTGTTACTTTTCTCAGCGCTTATCAGTGACTTTCTTTCTTCTGCTGAACACAAAAGAAAATATTTTGAAGAATGTTGGTAGTTAAACTGATTTGGGTCCATTTGACTCCCTTTGTATTGATTAAAAAACAAATGGTTATCATCATTATTCTAAATATCTTCTTTTGTGTTCAGCAGAAGAATGAAAATCATACAGGTTTGGAAGAACATGAGGTTGAATATTATGACAGAGTTTCATTTCATTTGAGCAATGACTGTATGGACATATGTATAGTGCAATGCAATTGTCTCCTTTTTTCCACAAATGGACCCTCACACAGAAAAACTCTGTTCCATTTGTCTATCGGCCGCTCTGCTTTATCATATTGATATCCAAATGCATTTTGCATCATCAGTTCAGTGATGCGAAAGGGTGTCCTTTGTTGTCCAGTGTGGAGCAAGAGGGCTAATCTCTGTGCATATGTCCTTAAAAGCACTGATGCTGTTTTCCTCTTAAATTATTAAGCTTCTTCAGCGGCTTTAAACCATTGAGAGAAGATTAGTGAGGTTATTCTGTGACGGTGTGTTTGTGCATGCGTGTGTGTGTGTGCACATGAAGTGTGTAATGTTGATGGTGTGTGTGTGTGTGTGTGTGTGTCTGTGTCTTCTCCTTTCTGTTCATGCAAGGATGCTATTCGGTATTTAAATGAGAGCAGTCCAACAGAGGCTGATCGATCCATCTGTGCCAATTAAACCTCATTCCCTTGTCTTTCAGAATCACGTTTGCTGTCACGTCACATTGCATCTGTCACTCAAGCAACCAAAATGGCCATTTTGTACCTAAAATCTAACATCTGGATCAGATACAGATGTGTATTTAGCCTGTTTAGCTATATAATTAAGATCTTATTAGTGCATGCTTGTGTTTTTATCCTGAACAGAGAGTTTTTGACATGCACTCTATTGTAACTTCCCTCTATGTGAATCTGTGCCTCTTTAATCCAGCAGTCTGTATCCTGTGTTGGGGAAGAAGAGGGGGTTGTATGTGTCTCTGTAATCTTGCTATGTCTGTGTGGAACTGTGTTGGTAATCCTGCTGTGTGTGCGCGCGCTCAAGTGTGTTTCTCCAATGTAATCCTATGACAGCAAGCATTTGTGCACGTGAATGGTCGTCAGTGTTAAAGCATACATGCCTTATGCGTTTAGCATCATTTTACGTTGTATGGCCTGCCGCACGGGCACACGCTCGACTCCACGTGTGGGCAGGGTTTGACATCATCAGGCGTCATTGCCGTGCTGAGGTGATATGGGAGGGCAGGATCAGCAAAGACATTTGGCTTGATCTCTAACTTTCCAGAGGCGTGGCTGGGGGAAGGGAACGACTGGTTCGGAATGACGAACTGGAATTAGGATAAAGATAGGAAGTAGTCTCAGATCAGCTGTTCCAAATTTGAACCATTATGGAAAAATCTACAAATCTGGTCTCATAGTGTAGATATCTTGTGTTTAATACAAAATAGGAATGTGTAGTAATCCAGGTTTTAGAAGAGGTCCTCTGTTGTGAAAAATGAATTTATTATGGAATAATTCATAATTTAAAAGAATATTCTTAGCCTATATATGTATGAACTTTATGTTTTAAGACACTTAATTGCATGCTATTTACAATTAAATTAAAATGCATTATACTTTAAATTTATATTAAATGGAATTAGTGCTTTTTGACCCACTTTTTATGTAATGTCATACATTTATTGTCTTTGAAATATGGTTAAAGTATACTGTCATATGCACTGATAAGCACTGATGGTATGCTTACTTGTAAATGTCACTTCAATTGAAACGTTTATGTCGTAAATACACATTTGTAGTGATGAAGTTGCAATTAAGGACGTTGAAAGTTTATTTACTTTAAATGTAATGTTAAATAACACACTACAGTTAAAATTATGATCAAGTACTTTACATGTGCATTAGTATATTTATTCAACACATTAGATTATTAAAACAATTATTTAAAATGTACTTTCCAAAAAAAACTAAAATGTTCAATATGACATATTTACAAAGTGCACTTTTAAAAGCTGCTTAAGTGTGTTTAGTCATAAAAGTGTACTCTCTTGGAAGATAAAAAATATTTTAAAGAATTTACTTCCATTTTACAGACATAAAATAAAATAGAAGTCAAAAATTCTTTAAAATATCTTCTTTTGGGTTTCACACAAAAAGAAAATCAGTTTTGGAACTACATGAGGATGAGTAAATGATGACAGAATTTTCATTTTTGGGTTGACTATCCCTTTAAGTGGCCTTTTATTTCATTATTAATATTATATTTTCTGCAAGTACAGTTTTTACAAATATACTTTTAAGATTTTAAGTACACTACACGTGCACATTAAATACAAATAAGCACACTTCTTCTTCACAAAGGTTGACATAGCAAATTGGAGGTAGGGGCGGATGCTCAATCAACTCTGGGCTATGGAGAAGTGGGTTTAGCGATGGATCCCGCGTCGCGATAGCCTGCCGCGCTGTAGCCGAGCGGATAGGCAGCACTATTTATAGCTAATCCTGTTTAAGCGAGGTCATGCTCTCTACCATCCCTGAGACAGAGCAGTGGAGTTAAACGCTCGCGTGCCAGCATACTAGAAGCACCGCGTGCGCTTTTAGCTCATCGAACCAATCAAAAAACACAACACATACAGAAATCACATCCAGGATTTTCTATGCTTATTTTGCCAGTAGTTTCACTATAGGAGGCAGGGCCGTAACCACCATAGACTCTGAAGGGGGCGATTATAATATTATAATTAGTGCTGTCAAATGATAAATCACGATTAATCGCATCCAAAATAAAAGTTTTTGTTTACATAATATATGTGTGTGTATTGGGTATATTTATTATGTATATATAAATACGCACACATACAGTATATATTTTGAAAATATTTACATGTATTTACATGTATATATTAATATTCATATAATTTATAAGTATATTTAATATTTTTTTTATATTTTCTTAAATATATACATGCATGTGTATGTATTTATAGGCTACATAATAAATATACACAGTACACACAGACATATGTAAACAAAAACTTTTATTTTGGATGCGATTAATTGCGATTAATCGTTTGACAGCACTAATAGTTATACCCCATAATTACAGGTACATATGGCCAAACAGTACCCCCACATTTTTTATAATCTTGTTGATGCTCTGCTGCACTTCATTACCCATTACTGTGTTTGTCATTACGACGACAAAAAGTTGAAAGTTATATTTTTAGTCAGCCTCACCGCTCATCAGTGTCAAAATGTTTGAGATGGCAAATAAAATTAAGAAGGCCAGGCTTTACTTTTACTCACACTTGTTTTTGGTCTAAAAGTGAGTAAAATTAACCCTGTTACCAGTTTTGACAGAATGTAACAGAATTGACAGTTATGTATGTGTTTGTGTGTGTGTTTCTCTGTGTATGACTGTTAAATCTGTTATGTGCTGTCAGCACTGTTACTCTTAACAGAGTTTGACAGTAACAGAATTGACACTGACTAATTCGGACAAGAAATCATGATTTTCAGCTATATAAGACACCTTTTACAAAAAAAAGTATATTGATATGGCCTGTAACGTCCTGTGATCCATGACAATGAGTAACAAATTATTAAAATAATTAAAAATAACTATTTGAAAAAAAAGCAGAAAAAATGTACCTGGGCACCAAATGTACCTGCATATATATATATATACCTTTGTGAAAAAGAAGTGTGCTTATTTGTATTTAATGTGCACTTGTAGTGTACTTCAAATCTTAAACGTATATTTGTAAAAACTGTATACTTGCAGATAATATGATATTAATAATGAAATAAAAGAAAATATATATAAATAATTAAATATATATACGGGGCTGTCCGTAGCTGATGCGGGGCCCTCAAAGCACAGGGCCTATCCTGAATCTATAGTTGATCTGTAATCTGTCTTCATTCAGTTTTATATTAGATGTGGCTGGATTGTGGAGTTAAAGCCTTCAATAAGATAATAATTTGTAAATCTCTACTATGGCCCTCCTCTTGTTACTAATAATAATACATCAAGTTTAGCATAGCCCGCTTGTCCATCACACCGACGTATCTTTGGTGGTTGCTGGTGATGACAGCTGTTTCAACAAGGGACGACACCTGTACCTGGGACAAGCGCTGGCCAATGGGAGTCTGAGTTAAATCCCGAGCCATGCCTCTGACGTAAACACTCCACAGACTAGCGCGCGGTGGGCGGGTCGTTACGGATCGAGTTGTAGATCCACGGCGCGAGACTATTGATGCCAAGTGGAACTGACGCGCACCGGTTCAAAGTGAGTACACATGTATGCAAAGGAAATGTGTTATTATACACTATATAGGCTAAAAGTGTTGTTTCAGATATTACAGTATCAGTTTTTAATCAAATGGCAAGTCAATACAGATAGAAATAGTTAGGTTTAGTAGCGGAAACATGCTGTTTAAAGTTATTCTAATAATTTGATGTGAGAATCGCGTGCTTACGACTCGTTTTTCTGCATGTCTGTTTTACTTCTTCCTTATAGTCCTAAATGTTCTGCTTTATACCTTCTGACAAAAAAAATGTTATTCTTAATGCAAATTCATTAGGCTACTGTTCCTTCCCTTTCCCAAAAAATTCCCCAGACATTATGCTACGTAGAAAATTTTTTTTTTTGTCTTTGTAGGGTATTAAATTTCAGCTGAGTGCGTCAGTCGAATGTAGTCTAGTGATTGAGAGTTTTTAGTCTTTCTTGGTAACGTAATGTGTATTATGCCCTTGCAACACAGATCATATGGGCCCATTACTGCGCGCAATGCTATTTGTGTCGCCAAGAGGATTTTGCATCGATGGCACAATGACTTCATAACTGCCGTGTAATATGCTTTATGCTTTGGTGGGCAGTGAGCTTTGAGTTGGATTCGTTTCAATTTATGTAACGTTAATGTTTATAATTTATGCTGATAAAATAGACCAGTAGAATGGCATTATAGCAACATTGTAGCCAGTCAGGGTGCGAATTATGGGGAGTTAGTCAAAACAAGAAGTTGATGGGGTCTTAACACATACTTTAATATTTATATATACCTTATTATGTAAATACAAGTTTTTGTTTAGATTATCACGAAGTAGGCCTATAATTACAAGCTAGTCATAGATGCTAATAACAGCAGAAGTTGCTGAAGTTGGTAACCATAGCAACAGTTCGCCTTTCAAACGCTTTCCGTACGTCGACTAAATGTACATCATTATTTATCTTATTATAGGTTTACACATTACACATAGGCCTATATTGCAAAAAACCATTAGTATTTTGGTTTAAATGTTTGAGATAAAGTTTTAAGATGGTTAACTGTTAACTCACTTTGTAAAGGGCGGCAAAAGACAACTTGGATTACGCGACAACCATCGACCGTTTAAACATCAAATTAGCGTTACTTAAGGTAAATCATTAAAAACTACTGAAAGACTTTGAATCATTTATTTTGTGATAGTTTTAAAGCACTAGTTATTCTTTATTTTGTCCATAAACATGAGCCATTGCTACAGTTCAAGTCAACTGAGACAGTGACTACTAGATTTCTCTAACGTTATGCAAAGTGCATTATGATAGAGCTAGGCCTATGTGAAAAGAAGTTTAAGTTATTTATTTGTTGAAAAAAAAATAGCCTATTTTGGTAAGGTGTTATGTGATGTTTGTTGTCATATAGCAAATTGTACAACACTAGACATATTAGGTAGTGAATGTCCTGATATAGAGATAGCCTATATTTATTTTGTCCTCTAAAATGGCAAATTATTCCTGCCAAATGCTCATTCATTAACATTTCTCACTTATTCGTTTTATTTAGACAGTAAGTTTCCACATCTGACTTCCAGAGCATCATGCAGCATCACAATGTGACTCACACTCCTCATTCACAGCATGAGTAAATATAGATTTTCAGCATTTGTGTCACAGAAACGTTCACAAATTCTTTCCGTATTCAGTTTATTTTGAGAGCATTTAGTGTGGCACATAAATGAATAAGGTGCTCTTTGTAGATATATTTTATCAAAAGATAATCTTTGTTCCTCACATAAATGATTGTGTACATAAAACATCTAATGGTGACATTCAGGCTGTTCTTTCAGCCTTATTCTTGCCATTCTTTATAAAATTCCTCTTTTTTTTACAGGTCTATTTGTGATTCAAATAAATGTACCAAATAAAAGCTTTTTGTATACAGAAGAGTAACTCTTGTGCCTCAGGCTTTATCCGGCTGCACTTAGTTCCCTCAGAAGTCTGAATTAACTGAGGGTACTATCTAGGAATGAGTATGTTTGTCTGTGTTCAACAGCGCATACTCTTCTCTACAGCAGCAGTGGCTGTGTGTCTCACTACTATGAACTGAGGGTACTATCTAGGAATGAGTAAATATGTTTGTCTGTGTTCAACAGCGCATACTCTTCCCTACAGCAGCAGTGGCTGTGTGTCTCACTACTGCCACAAGATTGACTAATTAGATTAAGCAAGAAGCTTTCCTGAGATAATCATTCAGCAAGCCATTTCCTCTAATGGAAACTGTGCTCCTCAAGACCGTCCACTGAAGGTCAAATAATTTTATGTAGTAAAGGAGAATATTTGGCATGACGCTTTGTAGTACAGACTTTGTGTTGTTTGGAGTAATTGTATGTGACGGCGAATCGCTCAGTCTCTGAAAGCAGCACCTTCTGACTGTGCTAGTCGAGGGGTTGTATTTGTCTCGTTGTTGCAGGAATGGACATGTCTGTAAGTACTTTTCTATCTGTTTTATGATAATGAATTGAGGTAGGTCGACTATCATGGTGTGTTTTAGTTTAGTGCTTCTGTAAAGTCATTATTTCAGTCATTTGTTTGGCAATTCAGATGTTTTATTCTGTAATTGGGATGCAGATAAAAAGTTAAAGGTAAAACTCCAATAGTTCAAAGAAATAAGAGGTGATTTAAAGTCTTAAAATGTAAATTTATTCAAGATGACACACAAACATATTTTGTTGTCCATGACCTTTGAGAGGGCTTTAGATGTCACTGCCTTTGAATCTCAACATAATTTACAATTATAAAAATCCTAGATTTCATTGCTGATTATGGTGAAAATTGTTTATTCATTTGTTCAATCCAGGGTAATTATAAAACTAAAACTTAAACTAAATGACCATTAGAAATGCTGCCTTTACTGAAGTAAACTGAAATTACTAGAAATAAACTAAAACTGAAATAAAAAACTAAAAAAACGAAATAGTAATATTTAAAAACCAAAAGTAAAAAAAAATGTCAAAAGAACAAGAAAATTTAAATGATAACTGATAGTATATTTAATAACTACTATAAAATATATAAATAATACTAATATAACATTTTTTCCATTCAATTACACTTTCTTTTGAATACCCTCTAAAACCTTATTTCTCACTCTGTTTTTTGAACACAACTTCTGAGTCATGTCTGTTGTCTTTGGCAGGTCTCTCTTCTTGACGAGATGCCGGTTTTATGTAACAGAACTAATTTTAGCATTCTGTTCTTTAAGCAGACGTAACGGATCTTTCCGCTCAAGGGCCATTACAAAAGCCAACTGTCACTTTGCATACCTGTCAACATCATCCTTAACCAGTGCCATACGGTTTGATCTGACTTCCTTTGTTGATTGACAGTGGTATCACTTGATCTGGCAGTTGCGACAGTACACGAATAATCACATTTTATTTGGCTTCATGTGCTAAATGGTCATATAAGCTGACATGGGAATGATAGAGCATGTAATGTACTTGCTTTTGTTTTGTTATAGATGTAACTTGGTGCAAACCCGAAGATTTGACCTTCTGTGACTCCAGTCAACTCAAGATGAGAGAAGATAGATCGGGAAATCAAATGGAAATGGCATTTGAATTACATCTGGTGTGCCATCAGAAGAGTTGCTTTTTGCATCCCTGAGGAGTTAAGTCTGGATATTGTCACGGCTTACCTCAGGGGAAGCCAGGCCATATTTTAGCATTAAAACACTCTCTCAGAATTTCCCTTTGACAGTGGAGCTATAATGGAGCATATAATGAGGTACATAGTTTGTCTGCATAATTTAGTTGAAAAGCCATGTCTTTTAAGAGAAAGTTGTACCACTTAATGCAGTCAGTTGCTAATCTAATAGCATGTCTATTTTTGACCATATATTATGCAAATATAATTTACTTGGATATATTCCATTTTTCAAGTCTAACTCATGTCTTACAGTATATAATTTAGCATTTTCATTAAAGTCACATTTTGTGTACAACAGTAAACAATGAAAAATACTTCTAAAACATTTATTAATCTTAATCAATGGTTATTTTAATGAATGCATTATTAAAATCAAAGCATTAATGCGTTAACTAACGTTAACCAATGGGACCTTTTATTATGAATTGTTCAAGTTGTTTTAAACTATTGACAGCCCTAATAATTTTAATTATTATTTCTGTTTTATATGTTTTTCTGAATCATTCCAAGTGCCCTGGTTATGAATGAAAGCTACAATGAATAATATGACAAGTATTTTAAAAGGTTTATTACAGTACATCATTTCTAACTAAATTACAGTTATTATGCGTCAGTCAGCTGACAAAAGTTTAACCGCCGGACATTATTGCCTTTCTTGTCACTTAATTGTCCAGGATATCAAAAGTGGCCATCATGTCCTTTTGGATTTTACAGTTCGTTTTTTTGCTCATTTCACCTTTTTATTCATCTTCTTCTGTGCTTCTAGTTTAGACCAATCTGTCTTCATATTATTTCAGTGAGCTGAACTCCAATCATTTGTCTAACACCATGATCATCTTATGTTTCCCTTGAGAATTCCAGCGAAATATGTTTACACTCTGCTCTTGTGATTCTTTCATTTAAGATTTTTATGTGTATTAGAAATACACAATCCATCTGTTATGAAAGAGTCCTATCTCTTGTTAAAATCTGACCTTGATTATAGTTTTTTACCTTGTCATCCGTCTATATTTTCCAGTTCGATATGCAGTGGCTTACTGTTCTTCACTGGCATATTTAGCTCTGTCATGAGCCATAACAGACAGTTGTAGTTGTGACAGGTGGGACCAGATCAATTTACCTCATGTAATCTGGTGTGCCATCAGAAGAGTTGATCTTTGCATCCCTGAGGAGTTAAGTCTGGATATTGTCACGGCTTACCTCAGGGGAAGCCACTTCTCCTCCACTTTTTGGTGCACTTCAGCGGGACTATGGCCAAAAACTCATTCCGTGGGTCGAAGTATAAGGCAGACGCCAATCATGATGGAGATGTTGGCTGCACACTCAAAGAACTTCGATCACTCATGGAACTCAGAGGGACAGATGGATTACAAAGGATTCAGGAGTGCTATGGAGATGTTCAGGGACTCTGTTCCAGGTTAAAATCATCACCAATAGATGGTAAATAATTCCTTTGCTACCAATGTTAATGTTTATGCATTAAAAGACATTTATAATATGCACTGTTCTTTTATCACCAAACTTGGTAAAAGTGGACCAAAAGTTAGAACCAGTATTAACCAATAAATGGTCAATTTTAAATTTAAATAAATTAAAAATAAAACTCTAACATTTTAAATGTTAAAAGTGAATTTTGGCATCACAACATTATAATATACAGTTTATGAATGTATATTCATTTTAAGATTTGCTTAAGATTACATTTAACAGTGTATAAAATGGTGTGCTTATAAACATTAACTATAGGTGAGCTTTAGATGACAATAAAGGTAATCTAAATGTAAAATAGAGGAAATAAGCATGCACAATTAAATATCCAATATTAAGTGATACCAATAATTTTTAAAATCTCTATTATCGGCCGGTTACCAAGATGGTACCAATATATCATGTATTTCCAGATAAAACATCACTTTCAGTTTTGCTAAACTGCAGGTCTTATTTAACCAAACGGTTTAGTGACGCTGAGGCTGGTTTAGCCTGGTGGTTATAGATCTGAGCTGAGCAAAGGTTGTATGTTCAAACTTCACAGTGGTTGATCCATAACCTCTCACCATTTCAGCCTTGAGCAAGCACTTAACCTCAGGCTCTTCCTGGAAGACTGTCTCTGTAACAAGTGTAGCATAATCGCTTCAGATAAATGCGTGAGCTAAATAACTAATTAGCAATTAGACGTTTCAGACATATTTTTCCATGTGCTTTTTCCTTTAGCCATTAGCACTGTAGCTTTCATCAAGGGCCATATTTTAGCATTAAAACACTCTCTCAGAATTTCCCTTTGACAGTGGAGCTATAATGGAGCATATAATGAGGTACATAGTTTGTCTGCATAATTTAGTTGAAAAGCCATGTCTTTTAAGAGAAAGTTGTACCACTTAATGCAGTCAGTTGCTAATCTAATAGCATGTCTATTTTTGACCATATATTATGCAAATATAATTTACTTGGATATATTCCATTTTTCAAGTCTAACTCATGTCTTACAGTATATAATTTAGCATTTTCATTAAAGTCACATTTTGTGTACAACAGTAAACAATGAAAAATACTTCTAAAACATTTATTAATCTTAATCAATGGTTATTTTAATGAATGCATTATTAAAATCAAAGCATTAATGCGTTAACTAACGTTAACCAATGGGACCTTTTATTATGAATTGTTCAAGTTGTTTTAAACTATTGACAGCCCTAATAATTTTAATTATTATTTCTGTTTTATATGTTTTTCTGAATCATTCCAAGTGCCCTGGTTATGAATGAAAGCTACAATGAATAATATGACAAGTATTTTAAAAGGTTTATTACAGTACATCATTTCTAACTAAATTACAGTTATTATGCGTCAGTCAGCTGACAAAAGTTTAACCGCCGGACATTATTGCCTTTCTTGTCACTTAATTGTCCAGGATATCAAAAGTGGCCATCATGTCCTTTTGGATTTTACAGTTCCTTTTTTTGCTCATTTCACCTTTTTATTCATCTTCTTCTGTGCTTCTAGTTTAGACCAATCTGTCTTCATATTATTTCAGTGAGCTGAACTCCAATCATTTGTCTAACACCATGATCATCTTATGTTTCCCTTGAGAATTCCAGCGAAATATGTTTACACTCTGCTCTTGTGATTCTTTCATTTAAGATTTTTATGTGTATTAGAAATACACAATCCATCTGTTATGAAAGAGTCCTATCTCTTGTTAAAATCTGACCTTGATTATAGTTTTTTACCTTGTCATCCGTCTATATTTTCCAGTTCGATATGCAGTGGCTTACTGTTCTTCACTGGCATATTTAGCTCTGTCATGAGCCATAACAGACAGTTGTAGTTGTGACAGGTGGGACCAGATCAATTTACCTCATGTAATCCCACTCACCTTAAACCGAGGCAGGCTCTTCATTGCTCCACTTCACGCTAATCTCACTGGCCGCTGCTCTGCTGCAAGGGGCTTACATTCATTTTTGCCCTTGCCAACAGTGAGTAAACCTTTGAGGGGGCAGAGAACTAGCGTTTTGTAACTGAGCAAGGGAAGGAAGAGAGGGATTACACTGTGTTAGTGTTTAGGCTGTGCTCTTGCTTGCGTGGGGAGTGGAAATCTTGGTATTTTTTGGAATCCATTATATTTAAAATGAAAAACAAAACAAAGTAAAAACCATCTCCAAATCCAATTCAATTTCTCAAGCGTTTTAAAATATAGCGAGAACAAGTTTGAGGATTGACTTTTTTCACTCAACTTGATCCATCTGTCATTTTTTGGATATGTTAAATCATCAGTATGTTTTCTCTGTACTTTTTCAAAATGTGTTTTTAAATTGCAAACTCAGTACATATAGAGATACGCCATAAGGATGTTCAGGTCATCTAAAAGTTATATGTAATTCAAACATTGTCATTAATAATAATCTTCAGAGACCCATCAGAAATCTTTGTACAATCATGCTATTAGATATCTTGACTGTAATGGTATATCTTATTTTTCTATGGTAATAACAATGGTATAATATTTTTACAACCAGAACAACAAGCTATTTTGAAATTGGAAAAATGCAAAAAGGCAGTTTTATGACAGTAATCTTCATATTTTTATAATCTATACCCTAAAATTTTATGCAACCTTAATGCGATAAACTGAAAAAAATTATAATAATAAAACAGTAAATAAAACAGATTATTGCACTAACGTTCAATGAGTTACTTGCTGTTTGTGAAAGTTGCTAGCAATATCTGAGTGAAAATTGTTTCTACACCAAATATTTAAATGTTTATTCTGCTCTTTCTCTCTGTTTAGGGTTAAGTGGTCATTCTGATGACATTGCAACAAGAAAAGAAGAATTTGGAAAGAATTTTATACCTCCTAAAAAGCCAAAAACATTCCTTCAGCTAGTGTGGGAAGCATTGCAGGATGTGACTCTAATTATTTTGGAAGTTGCAGCCATACTATCCTTAGGCCTTTCCTTCTATAAACCTCCTGATGCCGAGAGAGAACGTGAGTATCATAGGGCTTTTAAGCTCACTATGAATAATATGCCTGTTTCTCTTACTCAATGGTGCTGTTGAATAACAATGAATTTGAAATTGTAACATGCCCTGAAGGTGACGTAGTGCTGTTATGTATTCAGCTCACCCAGGGCCTCTGTTTTTAGAAAAAAATATTTTCAAAAATACTTTTACCTGAGCCCTGCTGTGCATTTAGCAGTAAAACCCTGCAAATCATGTTATTTTGTGTTTGCAATTGCACAGTCCTTCACTTCCTTCCTAAATGTATACCCTGCTTTTAATATACCTCAAATAACCTATTAACATTTTAGACTCATATATATATATATTGTTCAAATGTTTGGGGTTGGAAAGATTTTTTAATTGTTTTTGAAGAAAGTCTCTTATGCTCA